TATGATAAAAACTACACTAACTCTTAAATATTTGGTTGTCAAGAAATGTTTAGGATCAAAGAGTCAGTGGGAGTCTTAATGGTCTTGAAAGGTTTCAAGAACAAATCAAATAAACCTTATCGATCATCACTAGCACACGAGTTGAGGTTTACAACCTATCGTGTTGACACTATTTTGTTTTCTATGCTATTCCAATTGAGTTAATTGTGCATATGAGTCCTATGAGTTCTCGTTTGAATGCACAAAAGGCAAGGACCTTGATCAATGGAAAGTACTTTGATAGGCAAAGGTGAACTGCTTAACTACTTGGAAGACATGGTGGGCAGCTGTGCTACCATAAGGCAAGAAATCAAGATTAAGAAAGTTCGGTCCATATGAGTTTGAATTTGTCATAAACTTTGGTTTTAACAAATTCACATGGATAGGAACACATACACCGTTTAAATCTAAGTGTCATAAGATTTCCTCCTTCATGAAAATGATTGTGAGGAAATGCTTTCACTAAGAAATATTTTAAAAGGATAGTGATTGTAAAATTGCATTCTCAAATTCGATTATGGTTTCCATGATTTGAGTTGTGAGGTTTGGCAATTAGTCTTAATTGTTTAGACACACATATGAACTATCTAAGGCAAAGGTGTATAAGTTCAAGAGGCTTTGATAAAAGATTATCAAAGCACTAAGTATTAGAAATATGGACTTAAGAAATTCAATACGTATTGTTTTTCTGAAAGTTAAGATGTTTATAAATACATGTCGAAGCTAGTGGGAGCATAAGTGTTATGTTTTATAATAATCATCATAATAGTGGGAGCATAAATGTTATGATTGTATGATTATTAAGAAAGGTATTGCAAGTTGGCAATATTAATTATAGAAAACAAGAGTCATTCTTTGCAAAGTTGTAAGGATGGAATAGTTGTTTTGCTATAATTAAGGGAGAGAATATTATGCTTCATTTCAAATCTAAAGGCTTAGGTTGAGAAATGTTGATAAATTTAGTCAAAGGTACATAGTGTGTTCTTAAAATTTCGATTGTGATTACGGCATTCCTCTTCACAATTCGAATTTTGAGAACATAGCAAATAAAACATTATGCATCGTGTCCCATACGCTTCGGGTATAGGATCGATTGCAAATGCTTTAATATTTGACCATTCTAAAATTTTCCAAATATCTAGAATCGGTTTTGACTAAAATAATTAAACAACTATCAAAGGACAATCTAAAGTTCGACGATGAATGGTTTCTTGTGAGTAGTTAGAAGCATGGTATTGGATGGACCATATCGACATTATTATAAATAGAAAAGATTCTATTAAGAATGAGTTGTAATATGGAAAATATGGAAATGTTTCCATATTGGATGGACCATATCGACATTATTATGAATAGATAAGATTCTATTAAGAATAAGTTGTCATATGGAAAATATGGAAATGTGTCCATATTGGGAATTGAATATTGAAAATCTATGTATAGATTAGAAACATTTATGCAAAAGGATGTTTAAAGGAATGTACTTTGAGTGAGAGACATCATATCTAAGGAATTGTCTTGTAACAGTCTCCGATAGAGGACTTTGTAATATCATTGGCAATAGTCTTTGTGACTTTGGTGCAGTGACATTACGGAAGGATCATTGCATAAAATGTTAGAATCTAGCATATTCTATAAGTAGCAAGAATTTGATATTCTTTCACTTATGGAAAAGGATTTGGAGTTGTGAAATGAGAATGATTGGAAATGTGTTCATTTTGATCTATTTCATAAATAAAGAACCATAGGTAAACATTGTGTGCATGCTAGGAGCATGGGACAAGTGTAATAATTCAAGTAAGAAGTCGATTACCCGAAACGACAAATAATGAGTAATCAATATGGTGATAAATAAAAGGTGTTTATTTATGCTCAAAGGTTTGAGGCCATATGGGATTAGTATTATTCTTGTGTTTCACTTTGCATATTTTGACTTCCTGAATAATTTAATTGGTTTAGAACAGTCAAATTATTTGAACGGGCCACAGTCGTTCATATGTTGGAAGTAGATATGAATGAAGACTGTCGTGAATTGGTGTGTGGATTGTCTAAAAGAGTATTAGACATAAGTAAATGTTTGCTGCAATGTTCATGAGTGCTTATGAATAAGATTTGAGCATTGGATTAAACCCACACTCACTTGGATCAATCCATGAATTGTATCACAAGTGATTGGTGAGACGATAACATCTTATATTCTTGAAACCGAGATGTGTGAGTTGTATCTTGCAAATCGGTTGCACATTGATAATATGTAAACGCACCAGTAACTTGGTGTCATAAAACATATTGTTGTGTGTGATTTGGTGAGTGAGTACAAGCAAACATTGTATCAAAGTTTATCCGTTCCTTTTATCCAAAGTAGGATAAAAGTGATATCTTTTGGCCCTTCGATGATTTAGTGATGACAAACGTAAATGCTCAGTCGGGCTAGGGCTAATTTGATTTGTTCAATTAGTTAGTCGTCATAAATTGGGAATCGAGAAATACTACAAAGAAGATGATTTGAAATCATGTCTCATACGATATCTAGAATGGAGGAATATATGATTCCTTATCTAAAGGACACGCGTATCTGATAGGGTCAAAGTTGACAGCTGCTTTGGAAAGCTACGATTTTAGATTAGGATCTGAAGTCATATGCATAATAGTTATTAGACTTATCCAAGTGGGAGACTGTTGGATTAGTGTCTAAGTCCATAACTATTTTGGTATGTACTTGACTCGATGGTGCATGGTCCTTTTGGGTTGCCTTCACCAAAGCAACTTGATATGATGAATTATGGAGAGAAATGATTAAATATGATTTATTAATATATTATGGGAATAATATATTAAAGGAGAAATCATATTGTTTAATTAATATTAGTCAAGAATTAATTGGTAATTAGTTTTGTGACTAAAAGAGATTAATTAAACTTAAGGGACTGGAATTGTAATTATAAGATAATTGCAATTTGGGCTATGGATTGCCTTATATTAAGGAGTGGACGAATTCTATGGGAAAGCCCATGAGGAAATCGTCCAAGGCCTTAAGGAAAGGAATCTATGGGTTGCTTAGGGCTTAAACATCCAATTTAGGGTTTCCTTGTTAGATAACCCTAATAGCCTAACTATATATACATCCCTTATGACCTAAAAACGTGGCTAAGCATCATTCTAGGGTTTAACACATTTTAGGGCAGCCTCCATCCTCTCTCCTCTTTATCCTCTTTCTCTTGATGTTTGTGAAGCATTAGAGGAGTGACATTTGTGACTCTAAGCTTTCTAAAGTCAATACAAGGAGGAATTGGATTGTTATTGCTACATAACAATCACGGTAATGTCTTAAACCCATTCTTATGTTAATATGATTACTTGTATGCTAGAATTAGGGTTTATAGTCTTGGATAACTTGCATGTACAATAGAGGAACCTAGATCCAAGTATTAGGTTTTGTATGAGCACATAGGATGTTCTTATGACCAAAACCCATCAATTATCTCATTTAGTGCTCGGAATCCCTCGCAAATCACTCTGATTACTTTCTAAAACATTCCTCCATGGTTTCTCCAAGCCCAATCATTATTCTGCCTGAGCTGTCACTTCACTTTAAAAGCTGCCTTATGCAAAGTGTTAAAACATGAAAAGTGTGCATGAAAAATCAAATCACATTTATACCTTTCGCGTTTGATCGGTTTCCCTATGTCGTATGTTGTGAAGCCCATCAATAGAGTTCAACGGTTCATATATAATAATGTTATAACATAAGATCTATAGATATTTTTTTGAAAACAAAATTGGCATCCAAAAAAGGTTAAGGGCACAATGTGGTGACCTCCTACCTATTATGTTTATGCAAAACTTTTATTTTTATATTGAAATAAAACAGATAACCTCCTACCTACTATGTCTATGCAAAATTTTTATTTTTATATTAAAATAAAACAATTACATTTTAACTTGTATTGTAGAGCGTTTATTTTACTATAGTCCGACTTCTATTGTATTTTTTGTATAAGATTTGTGTGTGAGAGAGAGAGAGGCATACCTTGACGTAAATGTATATGCATATAATTTTTTTTTGAGGGAGTTCCTAGGGTGACTTAGACAACTACTCAATTTCATCTTGGGTAAAAAAAATCACTTTTTTTGTACTAGGGTGCAACTACCAAAAAAAAATATATATGCAACTATTATAGCTTATATTTAGAAAAAAAAAAAAAAAAGCAATATGATACAACAAGACGTCACTATTGCTAGACACTATTATTTATTTTCAACAATTTTTTTTCTTTTAATGACCGAATTTCTTGAATGTTTTAATTAACAAAGGTTGCAGAGTTGCCTTTTTGTTATTTAAAATGGATCAATTTTCTTGTGATTTATGATTATCCCAAACATGTTATATATAACATAATAACTTAATAAAAAATGTATGAAATTAACCGATTAAAAGTTATCCAAAATACATTCAAATGTATTTCAAAACTTCATAAAAGCCTATTTTATTTAAACAAAATCAATTTTAATCCAGGTTGCATTAGTTGTAAGGGGTTATCGTTAGTTAGAGTCCCTGATTAATTAAACCATTCCTAAAACTATTACTTGAGAGTTCAATTTTGGCAAATATCAATTACCATTAATTGCGTAAAGATCCGTTGTTAAGATTTCCTTCCAAATTAAACATATAAACAGAAAATCAAAAAACCAACGAAACCCTAAACCTCCCCACTGCATGTGTTATATAAACACCCACTTCTTCCGCTAGATTTTTCACAACCATCAACAAACAAAACGTTGCCGGAGAACGCCCATTTTATCGCCGGAGATATAGAGAAACTGTGTTTCCGATTTGGTGTGTAAGTTCTCTTTCTCAACATCCGATCTTATCGAACTTGGATAATTATCAAGTTAATGCGAATCTAATTGAAAACTCTTGTTTATCTTTTTCTTGATTTCGCAGATAACAGAAGTTGAATATGGAAGAAAAAAAGAGATTCTATTTGCCGTGTGCAGACGACGATGGAAATCCAAATTGTTACATCTGCGGAGCCAATTTGCCATCGATGAAATTCCTGTATCATCATATGCTCCTCCACACTGATTCCGATTGGTTTGATATTTTACCATCGGAGCCATTGAAGTCCACCGTAATTGTCTGTCGTACACTTCTTTCTATCATAACATCAAGAAACTCTGATCCATTAGATGATGATTTGAAGGTTAACGACGACAAGGGTTTCAATGATGATGGGGAGATTGTCGATTTGACGAAGTTTCTACTATCGTGGAAGCTGACTGGTAAGAGAGGCCGCCCGGCTGTCACGGGCAGGAGAGGCTGCCCGGCTGCATGAAAATGAATTAACGAACGAAATCAACTTCTTGCATGATAAGGTGTATCTCAAATTCTTGCAATTGAATATTGAATTTGAAGATCGGTTTTGGTCGTTTTAATCTTTCTTTTTTGTCATAAACTAGTTTTTTTAATGAAAATGTGGGTCAATTCATGATATAATTCTCATACATGCATGCTACAAATTACAAAGTCTCAGAAAATCACTCCCAAATCTATCAAGAATATTAATTCTAATTAATAGTACTAATGCTAAATATTAACATGAATAATTAGTTAAAATGAGTTGCTATAAAATTATTAAATTTTAATAGATAAAATTTCTATTAATAAGAGTAGACTTATAGGATTTTAATTGTAAAAAATATATTTATAATTGAACTTTTACAACATTAAACCCAAAATTAATTAAAGAAATGTATGATTGTATGGCTAGTTTCTAATGACAAACTATGGAGAAAAAATCCATTTGCGTTGAGAAAGTTTCTAGAACAAACTTAAATGATGATGAACAAAATTAGAAATCAAAAACTGGTTATTGCATATAGTTTTTGCTATTGTAAAAAAGTGGTAACATTTTGGAATATAAGGGACCATTATTGTAAAATTTAAAAAATGGAGATGCGGGGTATCGATCCCCGTACCTCTCGCATGCTAAGCGAGCGCTCTACCATCTGAGCTACATCCCCGTTTGTTTACAATTGTTATATCACACTTAAATCTTCTTTTTTTAATTTCTAGAAAACGAATTTAATTAGTCCAGAGTATATATGTGTTTCAAGTTTGAATAGATTAATATTATGATCCACTAAAAGAAAGTCGTTTTCTTCCCTCGGTTTTCTTATGAGCATTTTCGGAAACAAAATTTTCATCCTTTGGGTAATGATCATGAATTTCAATCTTGAGGGTAAAATGGTCCAAAACAAAAAAAAAAAAATCTTCCCACTCGTAAACCTGAGAGCAAAAAGCATCAGAACAACTAAAAACGGATGTAAAATTATGTAATGAGGTTGAAATCTTCAATTAACCAAAACGAAAACAGCCCCCATCAAAATAACCAATCCCGGGGTAAAATGGTCAAAGTGTAGCAAAAAACTCCCACCAAGTACAAATCCTTTTTCTCAATAAGCATCTAATAAAATTGTTCCAAATACCGATCGATAAAGGGCATAAACAGGCCAACGGAGTATAAGGATACAACCAAACTAAAGGCGCATAGATATTGAAACGATACATGCAAAAACAAACATATACAGAAGGAAGAAAACACACACACCAAAAGTCAAGATCCCCCCTACTAACACAACCATACCACACGATATGTAGGAGAAAGAAGAGGAGTAAAACGATTTGAAACATTTCAATATGATTAGTTGATGAGAAAAATTGCGTGCAGTCGTGCAGAGAAGAATATGAGAAAACGAGTGCATGCGAAGAGAAGTAAAACCTTTCAACATTAAATGATACCTAATCCTAATTAAATGGTTTAATCTTAATTATTTTATTTGGAATGGATATTTTAGTTATATGTATTTTATTTTTTAGATAATTTTTGGACAAAACAATAAAAGAAAATTATCATTTTAATCCAAAAAAGTTTGGGCAGTACTAAGGATCCAAATCTTTTATTTTGTTGGAATTTTGGTCTATTTAAAAAAAAATATATGTTAAAAATGATGGATTTGCCGTTAGTATTTTTTTTTAAAATTATCATTTTTTTATTAAAATAATTAAAAAAGAAAAGGCAAAATGTAAACACTCATCCTCCCTTTATCTTCCCTTTATCTGCCACGTGAATCACTTAACACCACCATCACCCATCACCGGAAGAACCACCACCACCAAAAGTTGTCGTCATTGTCATTGTCAGAGAAAGAGAGATTGTATTTTAACTAATTATTGTATGTATGTATAAATGATTGTGGACCAATTATTTTACTTATTTTAATAAAGTGATTAATACAAATTATTGAATTAAATATAACTAAAAAAATACCATTTAATTTAATTACAAGAGTATTTTAGTCAATTAATATAGATTTAATAAAGGAAAATTGCATATTTTAAGGGATCATAAATTCTATTAATTTTAAAAATTCGATTTTATGAATTATAATTCTTTTAATTTGAACATTCTAGCAGAATATGTTTATGTTAAAAAATAAGAATATTCTTGAACCATAAAATAACAAAAATATTCTTGAACATATTTCTTCATTATGACTTTAAAAACTTCTTGTAGAATAACAAATTCTTGAACCACCAATTGAAAGATAAAAACAAAAATTATGTTAATTTTTATAGAATACGAGTAGTAATTGCTAAGAAGTACATTTATTGTTAAATAAATAAAACTAAAAAAAACTTTCAAATCGAGAAAAAAACATCAAAATATAACAAAGATATTAATACATTCTAAAAGAATAATGTTACTAAGAATCACTTTCAATTTTGTGGTCTGTTCTTCAAGTATCAACTTCTGTGAAAACAAATCCAATTGTAGTTTAGAATCCAATAATGCATTAGCAAATGAACAATAAAAAAAACTAAATTTCTTTGGAAAAATATGCGGACTTGTGAATTGCACCAAAACCAATAACCAAGAATCGTAATAACCAAGAATTGTAGAACATGTATAAATCAGTGAGAAAATATATGTATTCCATTCTAACGGAATTGGAATTTGTGATTTCATTCCGATAGAACTGGAATTCAAGATTCAGTTACTATATACATTCTGTTGGAAAAATATACAAGTAAAAAAAATGCATAAATCAGTAGAACAATGGAGATCGGATGCACACTCGATAAACATTCGATAAAAATTCCATCACTAACCATGAATACATTCTGAGACTGCCATGACATGTTGAACAATCAATACAACCATATTTCTCTTTGGCATTTCATCAAACACTTTTAGGGCGCTCTTAAATCACAACATTTTCTATGAATCATTAGCCATGCAAGAAAAGGAACCATTAGCCATTGAAGAAAAGGGTAACTTTTATAACCGATTAAGTATTGAGGTACAGAGACACCGTTTATAACTATATGTGGAGAGTTTATCAACTTGTTCGATTCGATGTCTTGGTATAAAGTTGATAACTTGTGTCACACCCCCAAACCTGAACGGCGGAAACGTTTGGGGGTGGATGACTTTATGTGGTAGCGTAACAAATGAATACATAGTAAAGAAAGCTATGCAACCATCATATATATATAATTCAAAGTTTACAATTGTCAAAAGTTACATGTTCAAAACCAATTACAATATGATGTCAAAATACGAGATTAAACTGGCGCCACAGCATCCCTTCATCAAAAGCGTAATGAATACCTGAAATTACTGATTTCCTGGGACATACAAGTAATTTTGAAAGAGTAGATCAACATTTAAGCTGGTGAGTTTCATAAGTATTTAAGTGACAATGTTTGTATGATATGAAATGTTTTGTCTTTGTTTGTTTGTGTTTAGAAAATCCTATATTCTATACTAGTATAAAAGTGGCCTTCACTCAAGACCAATGTTTGTTTCTAAAAATGTATGTAAGTGTAAAACAACCAATGTGTTTGAAAACCTTGTAAATCAATGCATTTTTAATACCCCATGTGAGTTTTATAACCATACTATTGCCTCAGAATGCCTATACACAACGTTCTTCAGGCATTGGAATGTTATGACGTTTGTCACCCCAAACGGTGGACTGCAGCTAACAGTCAGGGCGCGGGTTGTCAAGCCCGTATAGATCTATACACAAACACCATGCTCCCCCTTCAAGGGATTCTAGTATATAATACAGGACTTGAAATGTGTGCTCGAACGTACATGAAGTTAGTGTCTCACAAAACCGTGGTATAAAAGCAGATCTACTTGTTAAAATGTTACGTTTGTTCTTGTATACGAAAGTGACTTCTTGAAATTCATGTTTCTAGTACATAAGAGTTAGAAATTTGTTCGTAAAACTATACCTATTATAGTTTTCTAAAAGTGTGTCTCGTTTGTTTAGAAATACCAAGAAAAGGAATCATTTGTTATGAAAGCATAGATTTTCAGCGTAGAGTCTAAGAATGATAAGTATAATCTAAGAAAGTTTAGTTTATACATGTATTACAACAAATTTATATTTCAAAAGATAGAATGCTATTTTAACATATGTTATATATATATATATATATATATATATATATATATATATATATATATATATATATATATATATATGAAAGTTCCTTAAAAGTTTGTAAATCGCATGTGATTTGGATATATAAAAGCATATAAAAGAGTTTTATGTAACACACGATAATACTCGTGTGTTTTACTTGTACCCCCCCCCCTTGAAAGCATATAAAAGAATTTATAGAACCTTTAAAAGGTAAATTAAGGGGTATGAACTCACTTGAAAGTTTGAGATAGCGAGATGGAAAACCGGGCAGAGTTTCGTCTCGGGAAACGGATTTTTCTCGGGATTCTCGGGAATCTCGGGAGTAAAATCGACCCTCGGGACTTGAGCAAAAAGACCAGAGCTTTGGGTTTGAACGGGCACGGAAAACGAGGCAATATCGTGAAAGAAAGGAGAGAAATGAGCATTTTTCTCGGAAGCCCTCGCATGCTATTTATAGGGGGGCCTGAGAAGCCTCGTACGCGGGGCGTACGCTCGTACGCAGCGCGTACGCGTATGTCATGCATGACCGAAGCCTCGACTGCCTCGGCTTCAGATGGGACAGATCAGTCTGCCGGGTCGGATGGGACGGCGGGTCGGACGGGTCGGTAGCCTCGCATAGGGCGACGTAGACGATTCGAGGCCAAGTCTCTCGGGTACGCAGGGCGTACAGGAGTACGCAGCGCGTACCTCGGATGAGGACGCTGACTCCTCTTCGGATTATGCTTGAATTTTGAATTAAATAAATATATAATTTATTTAATAAACTTCAAAAATTCATATCTTCTTCATACGAACTCCATTTTCGATGGTCTTTATATCCACGCGTAGGTGAGAC